CTCTCTCTCTCTCTCTCTCTCTCTCTCTCTCTCTCTCTCTCTCTCTCTCTCTCTGGGTGCTCTCTTGCAGGCGTTGTTGCAAGCTGATCTAGGAGCTACGACCTCTTTCCAGATCATCGAGGACCTCAGGAACACGGCCAAGGCCGAGGACCGACGCTTGGAGCCCGATGACATCAAGTCTGTGCTACGGGCAACCCTGATCCAGGTCTGCTGCTGCACATGTATGTACTCCCACGCGTCGGTCATTCTGTTGTTCATGCTGCTGCTTCTGAGCTGGTGATGGTGCCGTCGTCTCTACCAGCACCTCAACAAGCCTAACATCAATGAAGTTGTGTATTAATTTCGTCAACTATCTTTGCGTTTCGCGAGAAGGATATTTCATTTTTTCCTGGTACTTTATTTGGCGGTCCCCAACCTCTTTAGTCAATTTTACACGCTCCGAAGTTTCCGCTCAAGGCGCCCGATGCATTGCGCCGCGCGGAATCGGGAGAAAAACCTGGCAGGTATTGCAAAGTTCGTACCCAACCCATCATTCTGCTGTTATCTGCTCATGTAGAAAAATACAAAACATCCCGGACTTGTTTTCATGGTCCAGCCACAGCAACACTGCCTTGCTCAGCAAATCTTGACATACCATGCCTTAGCGCAGTCTCAGCGGCTTTGGGGATATTGTGAGTACGACAATACCACGAAGAACGTGCCACCTTTTTGTGTCGCTTGCTGCTGCTACCCAGGTGCTTAACGGCGGCACCATGCCTCCCGCCGAGGGTGGAGGCGACACTGCGGCCATCACATTCGCCGACCCGTCTTTGGGGGTCCCGTCCGTGCTGTTTTTCATGGGGGCCAACGGGATGGGCAAGACCACCACGGTGGGCAAGGTGGCCTCGCGGCTGAGAGAGGACGGGGGCCAGAAGGTGCTTCTCGCGGCCGCGGACACGTTCAGGTGCGATCAGTGAAAGGGAATGTCAAGGTTGCTGCGACGCCGCGAGCGGTAGGGTGTTGTGTTGTTTTTTTGCTGTCGTTGACTCAACTCGAGACCAGAACGGCTCCCGCGCTGGAGCGGTAGTGTTGTTCTAGGGTTGGGGTTTAGGATTGAGGTCATCGCGGCCGCGGACACCTTCAGGTGCGATCGGGAGAGGGGAAGGTGAAGCTCGCTGCGACTCTGGGAGCGGCAGTATTGTTTTGTTTTTGGCTGTCCTCACCTCGAGAGTCTAGAAACGCTGCGGCACTGGAGCGATTGTATGTGTTTTTTTCTTCTTCTGGCTGTCGGACGCTCGATTTCAGGTTTCGGCTGGCGAGACTTACCCTTCGGGGCGGGTCTTAATAATAGTCGTGCAAGAGAGTCGGAGGTTTATTTTACCAATTATCTTAGACTTTGACTGCAGTGGAACAGCTTTTATGTTGACCGGAATTTCTGGGGCTACCAAACCAAAACACAATATAACAAACAGGGCAGCGGCGGTGGAGCAGCTGAACGAGTGGGCGGAGAGGTCGGGGGCGGACATCGTTGTGCCTCTCGACAAGGACGAACGGCCTCCGTCCGTGGTGGCGAGGGCGGCGGAGAAGGCGGTGTCCGAGGGCTACGACGTCCTCATCGTCGACACCAGTGGGTAGGTTCTGTTCCGAACGGCTTGGTTTTCTTCTCCCATGCTTCCCCCCATGCAGCGGTTATTTCTTCAGTCGTTTTTTTTTGTGTCGTCGTGTCATAGGGCTAAGACGTCCTTATCATTGGTACATTTGTTTTGGAGTGGGCTGCTGGCCTTTCCATGCCCCAAGAGAGCCATTTTGTTGTTTCCATGTTTTTTTCGTGCCCTCATTTCATTATTGTTCTTGTGTATCGTTGAGGAGAGGGGAACGCTTTCTGGTGCCTGCAGAGCTGCCGCTATGTAAGATACGAGATGTACAACAATGGTTGCAACAATTTTCCTTTGGTTTGAGAGACGGTGATGCCAGAGGGGATGCGACGTCGTTGTTGCCGACACAACGGGGTCGAAATAAGAACAGGGCGTGCTTTAAGTTGAAGGCTGGACCACACATGGGTAGTTGGGCACCCTGCTGCCGGCTTTTTTTCGCTAGAAATTGAGGGAATTTTAGGTGGCGGCGAGAAAGACCGTGTCGGAGCTATGGTTGCCACGGGCTTAAATGAAAACGGCAGGGTTTTCGGGAGAAGCGTTTGTCCTTGTGGCCAGAGAGAGAGAGAAGGAGAGCAGCAGCAGCGGGGAGCTGACCAGTATCTTGTTTGGACGGACACATTATCTACGGCGTCCCAAAACGGACCGAACAGAATTGCACGGGATGGGGCGAAAGCGGCCCTGATACCCCGCGTTTGCTTGATTCTACCCGCTCACTCATACCGACGAAAGGCTGGTGGTCGATGTTCCGCGAGACATCTCGACTTGTCAGTGCGCACAGGGGTGAATTTTCCAAGAGAGACGAAGTTGTCGATTTGTTTGCTGCCCCCGACGTTTTTTACGAATCCTTCACGGAAGCGATGCAACGTTGGAGCTAACCAGCAGCAACCAACCTAGTTGCAAGATATTGCAGGAGAGGACCAAACGTTCGTTGTACCAGCTTCATGGCGATTTTAGCGTGTAGGGCGCGACCGCTGCGAGAACATCCTGAGCCGCGACACCATTCCGTTGCTAACTACTGCCGTGTGCTGATGCACGTAACGTGTGTGTCGTACGCAACAGGCGATTGTCGAACAACTACAGCTTGAACGAGGAGCTCAAGGACATGAAGAAGACCCTTTCAGACAGGATCCCGGGGTGAGATGTAGCAAGGATCATATCTGCTGCTGCTGCTGCTGCTGTTGTTATTTTTGTTGTTTTTGTTGTTGTTGTTGTTGTTGTTGTTGCTGTTGTTTTCGTGTTCGAGTTCCATGTCAAGAATCGCTGTGGCCTGTATTCTACGGTCAACGATGATGGATTGCAATCATGAGGCCCATGTCGAGAGTCGCTTGTGGCCTGTTTTGCATATTCAAACGCTGGTGATAGTTGGGATTCATGGGCTTCTTGACTTGTGGTCTTGGTGACCTGTCGATCTTCCCATGAAACCTGCGAAGTATTTTTCGTTTGTGCTGATCTTATCAATAGTAGTAGCTTTCTTATCTCAATAATCTACCTGGTATGTTTCTGTGTGTGTTACTAGGGCCCCGCACGACACCCTGCTGGTGGTAGACGCCTCCGTGGGTAGGAACGCCGTGGATCAGGCCAGGACGTGGAAGCAAGAGGTGAGCTACAGCAGTAGTGCAACTTCCGCCAGTTTTGATTTGACGGGACAGAACCCATCAGTTTCGATATTGCGGGGGAAAACATCAACATCAACAAATTCCAACCGGGAGGGCTACAGCAGCGGTGCGCCTCGGAAAAAATATGAAGCCTTCGTTGTGCTACACTGCAGCAAAGATCGAACGAGGAAAAGGTAGATGAAATCATCAGACAACAGCGCTTGGAACGACCAGCATTGTTTTTCTCATGACACGGTTTGCGCTTCAGCCTACGAAGCCTGAGCTACACGCACTTCAACCAAGTTTTTTTTTTGCCAAACAGAGTGTTCCCAACAAGTGACGCGTGTATGCTGCTGCGACCGATCGGTATTCCATTCTGAAGCTGGTGTTGATCAGACCTCAAAAAGTGCGAACATTTCCCGTTCCTACCGCTGTACCACACTTATCCACCCGCCCGGTGACGAACAACCGCGAACCTACGGGGGCTCCACCGAACTTATGCTACTGCACCCGTTGGTTGATTCGGCGATGTAGCCCGCTGCCATGCCCCCCCTTGTCCGCGGCTTCACCCCAACAGCATCGCACTGCGTCATTCTTGGCCCCCTTTGCCCATCGAGGTGGTGTAGCCCGCTGCCAATTTTCCGCTTGTCCGCGACTTGACCACACCGGCAGCGCGCTGCGTCTTTCTTCGCCCCCTTCGCTCGTCCATGTGGTGTAGCCCGCTGCCATTACCTCCCCTTGTCCGCGACTTGACCACAACGGCACCGCGCCGTGTCTTTCTTCGCCCCATTCGCCCGCCCAGGTGGGAATCTCGGCTTTGGTGGTGACCAAACTGGATGGAACCGCCCGAGGGGGTTTCGTGGTTAGTATCGTCAGCGACCTCGGGGTACCCGTCAAGCTCATCGGCGTCGGAGAGTCGCTGTACGACCTGAGGGACTTCGAGCCGGTGCTGTTCGTGGACTCTCTGCTGGGCTACTCGGTACGGTTTTTTCGCATCTAGATATCTAGCAGTAGGGGTAGTGGCCCGTGTGCATCGAAGGTCAAGAACCGGTCTTCGTGGTTGCTGCAGGTGAGCATAACGGCGACTGTTGTCTTTTCAGGAGAAGCGGAAGCAAGCCCGGCTTTTTTCGCCGATTTTGTGGAACGGCAAGATGGGCTGTTGGTTACCATTTGTACACTGGAAGGTGGTCGGCGAGGTTTGTGTAGCTTGGCGGTTTTCGACGTTTTTGTTCCTGGCCATTTCCTCGTCGGGTCTTGCTCTCCCTGCTTCGCGTTTTGCTCGCTGCGGGGGGTTGGCGAGCGAGCAGACGAATGAAGACGAGTCCGCTCATGGCTGTGCACCGTCTAGTGTGCATAGGAGTACTTCCTTACCCTAAACGAAGTGAAAGTATTGAACACGATTCACGAAGTCGCTTGTCTTTGCTATTTTCTCTGTCTTCCTCGTCTACCGTTCCTCACCCCCCCCTCCCGTGCTTCCCATACCGATCATGATTCTTCATGTCACTTGCCAATTCGCGATAGCCGGAGGACGCCAGTCGGTTACAGGCCATCTTCGAGGCTAACCCTGTCATGCAGGCACGGATGCTGGAGAGGATGAAAAAGGCCCAACAAGCTGCGGAGCCGTACGTCCCGCCCAAGCTCGAGAGCTACGCCGAGCCGGCATCGAAATCCAGGTGCACGCGAGCTTCTTGAAATTGCGTTTTGGTGGTAATGTGGTCGCTGGTCGAATTCCGGGATTCTGCTCGTTTTTGTTTGTTTGTTTGTTTTATGCTGTCGTTTCTGCTCTCGAGAAAAAACGTTACCATAGTCACTTCCAGGCTACCCTTACGACGTGTGCTTTTTCCCTGTTGCTTCCGCTCGGCACACAATGTGAAATTTTTAGAACGTGATGGAGAGACTCACCGTTTGTTCCACCCTCGAAGAGATGAAGGTTGTATATTTAGTCTGCTTTGGTTCGGATCGACGTGGCCCCGCACACCTGGTTGGCTCTCTCGTTCTCTTGCATGAGCGGTGATGCTTGTGGTGGTTGTCGTGGTAGGCTCGAGGAGGTCGGTGTGGTGGTGGCGACATTTTCGTGACGAGCTCGGCACTCTCTTAGTCGGCAGTTTTCATGGGTCTAGAAAGTAGTACCGCCTCTGGACAGAGCTGTAGCTTTGTCCCACGTGCCATCGTGCGATCGAGCACAGATCACGGCGGGGTTCAGCATTATTTCCGTCGACGACGCCGCATTGCATCGCGAGATACTACGCGCGAAAGAGAACGTTAGGGTGGATATGTCACATCCTAACCGGCCAGTCGGGGTCATTGACCAAACACGTATCCCCCCCAGGCTCCACTTTCGCCGTAGGTGTCGTTCGAATACAGTGGGGGTCGCAGGTTAGCAACATGCCCTCTTTGGCGACCATAGAATCACACGGAACCGTCGCACCCCGTTAGTATTTCTGCTATATTGTTGTTGCAGTTTGCAGTTTAGGGACACGCCCCGAATAGCGGCCACATTTCGTCGTGACATGGGGGTTCCCTAAACCGGAACCCCCACGGACAATATTTTTCGGCGGTGATGGTGTGGTGTTCGTTGCCCGTGCGTTTGCTGACCAGAGCCGGCTTTCGAGATGGAAAGTGGTGGCTGCGGTGGTGGTTGCGGTTGTGGTTTTATAGCTGGCCAAGGTTTGTTGCAAGCTGACACACAAGCGGTGAGGTTGTGTGCGTCACCCTCATTGTGCCCGCTATGTGGGCCGTATACGATATTTGTTGGATGATTGTTTCCGCGGTTCCTGTTTTGTTTTTCGAACCCATCGATCTCCGCTCTCTTTGTCTACTGGCAGTCTCAGGCGGGGACGTCACCGCAACCGCCGTGGCTCATGACGTTTCGCGCCGCCGTACTAATCATGCCTCTCCGTCGAATGTTTTTTTCCGGCAACGTCAATTCAGGAGAAAGGCCAGGGCCGCTAAGGGGGGCAAGAGGACTAAGAGAAAAAAGCGATGACGGAGAGAACCGCGACGTATGCCATGGTTTGCCTTTCCGTGCCAACCGGGAACACACGCGTCCAGTCAGTGTAGACTAGGCGGGTAGGCCCTGTTGTGGAGCCCCCAATTATAGGCAAGCTAGGGGGGCTCTCCGTGGTAAATTTAGAGCCGCTGAAGGGTGTGAGCTTCTGGGGGGTCATGAAATAAATTAGAGGTGCTGGGGAAAGGAACCGGAGGGTGCCCGCGATTAAACTTTTACCCGCTCCTGGTACGTGTCCCCGGCGTTGAGGTCAGGCCATGCGGAAACCGCTCTGTACCTTTTTCCCCGGAAGTTGATGGATCCTTCCGTTGCGAACGAAGTAGTGCGTTCGCGAGGCTTGCCGGTTGAATTTTTTTTTCGTGAAGCTGGTCGCCCGTGTATGGTATAGATTGTTCGTATCCCCTCAACGTTGTCCTCTACGGTGCAGTAAGGTTTGGAGATCCAGGCAAGGCGCTGTCATTGCTCGCTCACGTGCACTGCGGCATGACCGTATGTTTGGGTCCCTAGAACTGCCCAAAACTGAAAATCCAGACAACCATAGCAACACGTGTCTTGCGATGAATGAAGCACGGCATCCCCTGGGAACTGTTAACAGTCAGGCAAGGTTGTGGTTGATCCCTTTGTCAGCACGAAAAGCGTACCGGTTGGCCAGCGGAGGTAGTCGTGTCTGTGTGGCCTAGAATCGGAACGATCACGTCAGATATGAAAGCCTCGGGTGATGTAGTACGCATGCTGCGAGCGACGGTAATTGTGGGATTACAGCCAGAGTGCGTCGATGATGAGCCTTTTGGCCGCGAGGCACCGATTGGTGTCGTGTAGGACGGCGATTGCTACAGTAGTGCGTCATGCCCTTCGAACAATTCTTTTGGAGGATGATCACCCATTCACACGATGCGATTCTTATATCCCTTCGCTGCGTCGCTGTGACCGGGCGTGTGAAGTGATGTACCCCAGACACCCCAAAACTAGTGGAGATTTCAACACGTCATTTACTCTGGGCTCTGTTCTTTAACCTCTTAGTACCCAGTAAAAAACATGTCGAAAATTTGTTTGTCAGCCATTGGTCGAGGGGCCACAGTGCCTGCGAAGAATCTGAGCGCCTTTGCCAGACAAAGGGTGACTTGGCTCCAGTATGAAAAAGTGTCCCAAAACACGTATGGATACTTTCCATACTGAAGGCAAGTCAGCAAGTTTATCCAGTACCAGGCGATATATCTACATTGTTACGACCTACAATAGGGGACACGCGGATTGGGAGATGTGTATGATATAGCAAGTCAGCGGCCCAGGAGAGGCATCACACGGCATTTTTCAAAGTGTACCACCTCCGCCAAGCATGATAGATCAAGGGCTCTTACGTGTGTTGCACATAGAGGAGCCTAGGGTGACTACAGTGCCGGAAATAGGTGTTTGGGTGCCGTGTCCACAAAGTTCCACATTTGGGCGTCCAGTTCTAGGAGGGCTAATGATGCGTAGCTGCAAGAGAGAACATCGGAAGGCACCAGGGAGTGAATCGACGACGGAATATGCTCTGTCGAACTGTGCACGATGGCAGATTTAGATACTCAACGTTTTCGTGTGCCATAACGAAAAGACGTAAAAACCCACCTTCAGCCCAACGGCGCAAAACTGTCAAAACTTTATGGATGATGGGACACACAAGTGAAATATCTCGCTTTGCATAGCCGGCACACGAAAACGTAGACCTTCTACATCAAGGCACTGCCGTGAGGGTGCGAATACAGAGCGTCGCTTGGATGCATGAGTGATTCTCTTCGCAGAGTAGCGGCGCGAAAGCCGAATAAACTCGCAAAAGATATTTACAGCACCGCTCGAAAGTGAAAGAAGGAGGAGTGAAATCGCCCCACGAATAATAATAGGAGGTTCCCCTCGAAAGTGAACAAGAACGAGCGAGCATCCCAAGAGTACTTCGTACCCCTCGGAAATGAATTAGGACGCACAAACCCGCTCGAGGTCAAGGTGGTACAGCTTAATTGTGTGAACGCAACGAATGAGCTCCCCCAAGGCCAAGACTCGGCAGCTCAAGAGCGAACACGGACGGATGGACCCGTCCAAGATAAGAAGGGCCGCTCGAAAGTGACGAGGACAATCGAATTCGCCCAGATTTGGGCAATATTGCACCGGTCGAAAGTGAATACGGACGAATGACCTCTCCCGAGAATATGGTATGTAGCGTGGCTCGAAAGCGAACAAGGACGCACCAGTTTCACGAGGTGTCACGGCATGTTGCGTAAGAAGTGGCTAGGTTACACCGTTCGTGGGGACACAAATTCCTGGGAGTACGCGGCAAGGGTTACAGGAGTGGTGGGAGGAAGTGATGCAGTGCCAGCGTGGCACGCGGAAAGCCATGGCACGAGCGCGCCGCTTCTCTCTCCTCAGAGGGTCTTATGCAATATACTATGCCAAATGCTTGTTGTTTGGCTTGAAGAAAAGGAGGCCTTTCGTGTTGGTTCGGTGCGATATCCTCAATATCACCAGTCGTACGGCATCCACGAGCCAAATCAAGGTGATGAAATATCACTGGAATTGGCAGAACACATGCACAGGCCATTATCAGGAGTATTTTTTTCGCGCGACGTGCATCCTGGTCTGGTCCGTACCTTGCAAACAATGATACCGTGAGCCACCCGGGGTGGTGGGAGCGAGAAAATTTCCACGTCCGGGCACGCCAGACGCGGCGCTGGATATTGGGATCGTGTATTCCCGCCGCCCTCCTCCTGTTCAGCTTTGCCGCATAAACTGAGCTTTCGAAAACTATCGAAAGGCGCACCGACCCCCGTTTCACCAGCGGTGTCTCTAGGACGATAGGGGTACTTCGTCCAACCGCGATAACGAGCGCAGGGAAGCAGCCCGCACCGAGCCCCGCCGCAGTTTGTAGCCACAGGTTGCTGTTGGCATTGAAATAGAAAGCCCTCGAGTAAGGTGAACCCTGGCTCGAAGGAGACACGAACATGTTTGTGGCCTCGCCCTTGCATTAACAGGAGAGGTTGGCGCCAACCTTTCGCATGTTGTGTCAATCCTTCAAAGAGATTGTACCATATATTCCCGGTATATGTACATGTATGTACATATGTACATGTATGTACATATGTACATGCGTGGCGAGATCGTTGAACACCAGCTTGGACAGGAGATACTTGCAGGTCCTCCCATCGCTGTTGAGGTGGCTTGGTTGATGACCGCTGTTGTTCTTGAAGCCACCAAGAAGATGCCGGATAGCTGATCGACCCCGCGAGAGGCTCGACGAAGTTGAGGATAATTTGTAATAGCACCAGGGTACACGTGAAACACAATTCAAGACACATGGGCCTACTAATCGAAAATCGGGGTCCATGGAGGAGGGCGGTGTACTCGAAGTCGTGCACGTCGTAGTCGTTAGACCATTGACCTCGCATCCCTACAAAGCCAGGACGGAGCACCCCGGGTTCTCGCCAGACAAGCCTCCAAGCGGGAAGCGCCGTGAGGTGTTCGGCGAGTCGCATGAAAAGTGCGCTCCATCCTGCTAAGGGTGTTCCGCATCTTGTGCTTACTTCCTTGCGTTCGGATGACAGCTGCGTATGACTTAATTAATTTTCTGGTGCTTTCACTTCCAGAGACAGTTGTAGGTACTGTGTAACTGCCTCGAGGGTGCTTGACCATTTTAACACAACGTGGTGCGATCATCCCCCTTGCGCGGAGTGAGGGTCTTCGACCCCGCACAACAGAATCTCCTCGACCACCATTAATGGTTACCGTGTACTAACAAGAATGGAGCTGTAACCCGGTTGTCGAGCTCACGAAGCGATCGGCTTGCTTTACAACATCGTTGTCAAGCGACGAAAAACCAGCCCCAATGGTAAACACCGGGGGGGTGGGCGGTGTACTCATAGTGGTGCATGCCGTAGTCGTTAGACCATTGACCTCGCATCCCTACAAAGCCGGGACGGAGCACGCCGGGTTCTCACCGGACCAGGCTCTCACATCATCAAGCGCGAAGCGCCGTGAGGTATTCGGCGAGTCACATGAAGGGTGCGCTGCATCCTGCTAAGGGTGTTGGCATCTTGTGCTTACTTCCTTGCGTTCGGATGACAGCTGCGATTGACTAAATTATTTTTCTGGTGCTTTCACTTCCAGAGACAGTTCCAAGTACTGTGAAACTGCCTCGAGGGTGCTTGACCATTTTAACACAACGTGGTGCGATCATCCCACTTGCGCGGAGTGAGGGTCTTCGACCCCCTACAACATGATCTACTCAACCACCATTATGGTTACCGCCAAATAAAAACAAAGGTACGAAAAAATGCGGTAACCTGGTTGCCGAGTTCACGAAGTGAATTGGCTTGTTTTACAACGNACGGCGAGATTTTCGGGGCGGTAGGAGACATGGACTTGCCGTCGGCTACTGGCTGGGCGGCGACCGCAAGGTCGGATTTGCGTTCGATGGGGCTCTCGGCGGGGAAGACGGCCAGCTTGTGCTGCAGCTCAGGATCGGTGGGTATCGCCGTCTCCGAGGGGTTGGCCTCACTGTTTTTGGTTTTAGGATGTGGCGATAGGCGGAGGGGAGGGGAGGGGTGGTGTGCATAGTCGTGCATGCCGTAGTCGTTCGACCATTGACCTCGCAGCCCTACAAAGCCGGGACGGAGCACGCCGGGTTCTCACCGGACCAGGCTCTCACATCACCAAGCGC